TATACGAGACCATCATGTTGGCAATGTCATCGCCACCGCCGGGGTTGGCAGGGCCGCGCGGCGGTCTGGTCGCGACATCTTGCCTATGGAGATGATGCGGGTGGCGACCATGAAGATGTATCCTTTCACTCTGATGGGCCGCGCTCTTCGATGGGTTGATCAGATCCTCGCCTTCGCCAATCTGCATCATGAGTGGCGAAGTCATCGTCGCAGAGGATAGTGGGTGCGACATTTCGCCTCGCTGTAGCGTAGTCGGAGCGCGCTCGAGGAGGGCGCGGACTGTGCCTGAGAGTGAGGTCAATGCTTTCTGCTCAGGGCGTGTCTTGTATGCTGACTCTGATTTAAGAAACAAATGGCAGGCTTGTGGAGCGCGTGCTTGTGCGTCGGCTAGGTCACAGCACGACGTCGTTCGAACGACCTGTCTGCAAAGCTATCTGCAAAGGGCAAGTCTTGCGAGACAGGCGCATGCATCGTCGAAGATGATATGGTTGCAGAGATTGCAGGGAGGCTGGATGGATCAAGTCCGAAGCACAGGTACTGGTGGCGAGGAAAGGTTCTGCTCGCAAATGGATGTGCGAGGTGACTGAGTATGACTTTGGCCCGCAAAGCTTCGCTGCTGAGTGTTTGTCCGTGGGCGGTGCTGAGCAGGTTGCCAGAATCTGTTTGCTTGCGTGGAATGAGAGGTCGTGACGCTGCCGCTCAGCTCACAGCTGCCGGATGATGAGCACCGAGGGCTGTGTCTAGCTTTCAGAAGGCGCTATATACGCAGATGGGTGAGGTGAAGCCAACTGAGCGTCAGAGCTTGCTGCTCCTTCGTTTCGGAACGTCAAGCGGCGCGAGTGGCAGGAGAATTAAGGTGGGTCCCTCGATGCCAATCTAAGTGGATTCGGCTGTCCAGGAAAAGCAACAGAAGCGCGATTTGAGCTTGGGCACGCTTTCGTGAGAGGTATCGCTTGGGCGCGTCCGGGACAAGTTGCGGCTGCAGCGCCGCAACGTGAATGCCTCTGACAGGATGGTGACGTTACGTCGATGGC